TTCTGCTAATCAAGAGGATTTGGGATAACTGGAAATTTGGGGGCTTTTAAGGTTGTTGCTGGGTGTGGTTCTGGGGGTTGCTTGATGTCAGCAAGAAGAGTTCTATATAGATACGCCTTCCCAGTGTCCCCACAAAATAACCTAAGAATTATGCTAGAATAGTGCCCAAAGCCACAGTCACTGGAATGTTCTAGAACCAAGTCTGTTGGTAACAACTAAATTGCCAACAGTTAAGCCTGTACTATACAATGAAAGCAGGCCTATTATGTTAAAGAATTTTTAAAACTACTCAGAGAGAAGGGATGCTGGGGGAAGAGGTTCAGATCCACTCTTCCTTAGCATGTTAGCACATCACAGTGCTTCTTATGCTAAAAGCCCTGAGAGGTTCAGATGAGGAATAGATACCTTCCACGTGCCTGGTGTCCTTGGCTTTGGGATCACTTTCCTGTTACATTTTCCTGTTAGGCGTGTCGAGGCACACACACTCATTATTCTTTTTCTAATGAAAACTTATTCTTTTTGTTCTGAAAAGTGGGTAGCACCTTGCCCAGAACATCCAGCTACCAAGTTCTAGTGCTCCCAGCCCTTCCAGGTCTTGCCTTCATGTGTATGCATTGTGTGCCTACTGTGAGCCAAGTCCTGTTCGAGGAACAGGGTGGTAAGCACATCAGAGAAGGCAAGGCCTCTGGTCTAATAAATGTGACACTGCAAACGTCCGCACATAAACAAAAAGCAGAAGAAACACCCAAAACGCAGACAGTGGGGAGGGCTATACAAGACTGGAATCAGCTGCTGTGCAGAGCAAAGAGTAGGTGGGGCTGCTTTAGGGCAGAGGGTCCAGGGAAACTGCTGACACTTGAACTGAGATCTGAATTGCCTGCAGAATCCACCAAGGAAGATGAGGAGGCCAGTGTTCTAGGCCATCCTGAAAGCCACCACATTGGGACAAGCTTGGCTTGTCCGAGGCTCTGCGGATGGAAGCACAGTGGCTGGGGTAGACATGGGTGGGGCGGGGGGATATGAGTTGGACAAGGTAGGTGGGGGCTTGCAGAGCCAGGGCATAATGCTCCAAGTGCAAGGGAAGCCCTGGTGAGTGTGGTGCCAAGGGGGTGCCCTGCCTGCTTCCCTTCAGGAGAGAACCTGCTGGAAGGAGAGTGGTCAGCTGACTGCTTCCAGCTGCAATGCCATCCAGATCCACCCAGCATTTGACGTGAGGCCACACCCTGCCCGTGACTGACTGCGACAGGGACCCTGGGGCTCCCTGCTGGGTGGGCACAGGCTTTCTAAAGCTCCACTGCGGTCCTTGGTCCTCAGCTCTTCTTCCCCATCTTCCTTCCTCCTTCTTTTCCCGGTGTCAGACCTGGTCCTGATCTGAAGGCTCTCCCTGACTCTTCCTGCCCCTTCACCCTTTTATTCTTCACCGGTTTCCCCTTGTGAGCCTTCTAACTCCGCCTCAGAGCACCTGGTGAGATGGAGCGGGTTGAGCAGCTGTGGTGGAGGATGGCCTGTAGGAACGATCAGGGTGCAGCTCAGTCAGGAGCTGCTGAGGAGCAAATCTAGGAGAGAGAAGACTTGGCCGCGCTCTGTTTGAAGGCCTTTCGGGCATGGGGGTGAGGGTCCAGGGAAAGCGCTGCCTTCCCTATGAGACTGGCTTGGGTGTTGCAGTCAAGATTAACATCTCCATTTAGTGGGCATGTGGCCCAGGCTGGGCATGTGTTAAGCAGCCTGTACAGTCATTACACCCACTTTTCATAACTATTCCACTTGGAAAATAAGGAGATGGACTCAGACAGGTGCGAGGGGTTTTACACCAGTGTTTTCTTGGGTATTTCATAGACAGCTGGGACCTCTCCTCCAAATTCTCTCCTGTCAGGAACTTCTGAACCGTCTCTGAAGCCTGCAGTCCAGCACCCAGGTTTTGTGCACAGGTGCCACGCAGTACAGAACTTCCAGGACCTTTGAGTGCCTGTCCAAATGCTGGGAAGGGTCCCCTTTTCAGTGACAAGCTTGGCATCCCCAGCTATAAACAGGAGCTGGAGGAGGAAGCATGTTCTGGCCACTAGGACCTGGGATGGCAGTGACCTGCAGCCCCAACCCCTCCAACCTGGTGAGGAAGGAGACCTCCTCCCTTGCCCTGATTCCCAGGCACTGGGGAGCCAGGGCCTCCTTCTGCAAAATAAATTTTTCTTCTCTTTTAGGGGCCATGGGGCACCCGCTCTTCGTGGCCAGCTGGGGCCCACTGGCCCGCAAAGCTACTGGGAAGCTCATGGGCAGGAGCTGGAGCGCCATCCTCTCCGGAAGAAAGCTGGCTTGTTCCAGGAGCACAAAGAACAGCCACTGGGCAGAGACAGGCTGCGCATGCTAATGGCCAGGTGCTGGGAAAGCATGGGCCCTGTCCTGGGGGGAGGGAGGGGGAGGCAGAGGCAGGCTTCCCGCCCTGAGCCAGCCCTGGCTGGGACCTAGGCAAGTGGCTGCTGTGCATTACTCCCCTTCTAGGGAGGGCCCTGGACATGGTGCCAACCCCCAGGTGGCCCAGCCCTCCCCCAGGCCATGCCGAGTCACCTGTGCCCATCACATGGAGGCCCAGGCGAGCATCTGTTGCAGGCAGCACACTGTCTAAACATCCGTGCAAACGTGGACCAACAGGTCCTGCTAAAATGTGTTAACCATCTGCTTTTCCTTAGCTGTTTTTGAGCAAATTATGTTTATTACGTTAATTTATTTTACTGTCAACAACACAGAATGACACAGTTGCTGCTAAACAACATCATTATATATCTCATTCTGGCATATTACCAGAAGGTCTTTTTTTTTTTTTTTAAATAAATTCAACAGGAATAAATGCATATTGAAAATTGACTCCAGGCCATGGCTGGTGTGGCTCAGTTGGGTGGAGCTTTGTCCCATGCACCAAAAGGTAGCAGTTCGATCCCTAGTCAGGGCACATACCCAGGTTGAGGGTTCAATCCCAGGTCAGGACACCTGTAGGAGACAACCAATCGATGTTTCTCACATCAATGTTTCTCTCTCTCCTTTCCTCTCTCTAAAAATCAATAATGAAAAAATTGTAGTTAAAAATGAGAGAGAGAAGGAAAATTGAGTTTGGGATGGCAAAGCCGTAGGTCCAGACCTGCCTGGGTCACTCACCCTCCAGGGACAGACTTCTCCAGGAGAGGCAGGGTTGTCTGGGCAAGGCTTGGCCAGGAACATGGAGCTTCTCAGAAGCCTTTGGGGCTGGGAATCTGATTTTCCCTCTTAAAACTTCCCCTTCCCTCAGAAAATCCTCCCATTTTCCAGAGGGTCAGGCTACAGGGACCAGGCAGAGTCCTAAGCAGAGAGTATGCCACTTGAGAGCCCTTGTGATTCACTGGGGACCATCACCCTAAACCCAACAGCCAGGCAGGGTTTGGAGTTTTTAGTAACTAAGTTTGTGACAACCCACTTCCCCTTCCCCCCAAGACCAATAAACTCCATAGGCCCAGAGAGAGAGGAGAAAAGAAGAGTGCTGGGTAGGAGAGGGAAAGAGACGGTAAGGAGCACCTCTCAGAACCTACCACATGAGTTGGTTCAGCAGAGAGTGGGCGCTCACTGCGAGCTGAAGAACCTCAGGAGCACCAGGATGCCTCCAACAGTTCCTGCATTAGGTAATGGGCAACAGGAGGTGCGTGCAGTCTCCTGGGAGGAAAACAGCCCCAGACAGAGACCAGAGCCGCCGCTGCACAGAGGCACAGGGTTTCTTTCATTCAGCTCCCAGACCCCAGTGAGGTTCAGTCTGCACACCCCAATCCAGGCCCGCCTGTAACAGTGGAGCCAGGCTTCCCTGCATCATGGGAGGGAGCTTTGCCTGCGAACCTTCAGAAGCTGAGAAAATCCCCAGGTGGGATTTTTACAGCACAAACGACCCACCTGATCAAGAGATTTGGTAGCCAGGTGCCTTCTGGGTGTCCTTGCAAATATTTAGTTACAGAGAATGGGTCACGTTACACAGTTTAATATTGGGAGACTGAAAGGGCTGTAGAAATCAGCCTTTGTCCCCCATTTATCCTGCAGCCGCCAGTAGGCAGCCCATAAAAATGTAGGGCTCATGTTCACACAGATGGTTGTTAGTTTTATGGGCTGGGGTAAAGGAGCAAAAGAAGATGATCATGGTGAGGCTGTCAGAGAGTCTCAATTAAATGGGTCTCAGCTGGCCCTGGCCGGGTGGCTCAGTTGGTTGGAGCATCGTCTACAATTTGAAGACCCAAAAGTGGTGGATTTGATTCCTGGTCAGGGCACATACCCAGGTTTTAGGTTTGATCCCCGGTTGGTCGAGGCATATGCAGGAGGCAACCTATTTCTCTCACATTGATCTCTCTCTCTCTCCCTCCCTCTCTCCCTCTCTCTAGAATCAATAAAAAGCTTATCCTCAGGTGAGGATTAAATCAATGAATAAATAAACGGGTCTCAGCTGCCAGGGATACCTGGGTCCCTGGGGCCCAAAGGGGAATTGATGTCCTTTGAGGGCTCCCTGCCCACCACTGAAATGGGCACAGGACTGTCCTATCCTGCCTCCCAGAGCCACCTTACCACCTCCTACTCCCAACACAGGATGGCCTCTGTCATTGAGGTATGGACTCTGCAGTGCTGGCTCCTGCCCCTCCTGCCCCTCAGGGTGCACCCCCCACCCCCACCCGCTTTAGGAGCCCCCTTACCCCTAGGGAAAAGGTGATAAACCGGTTCATCCTAAAAATAGGTGCCTAAATTTTATCTCTTAAAGGACATTTTCCATTTAATTGGGGCTCAGCCTTAAATTGGGTTGTTTTAGACCCAATAAATTTAGTTTATTTAGACCCAACTCATGTGGTAGGTTCCAAGAGGCGCTCCTTACCTTCTCTTTCCCTCTCCTACCCCAGCACTCTTCTTTTCTCCTCTCTCTCTGGGCCTATGGAGTTTATTGGTCTAAGAAATTGGCCTGTTAGAGTGGAATAGTAGATGGCAGGAAAGGAGACTTCAGTCCTCGGTGCTTTCCTTTCTAGTTTATTCAGGGGCAAGAAGAAAGGAGGGAGGGACCATTTCAACCCTCGGGCGGGGGCTTTCAGCCCTGATTTGATTGTGAATACCCTGGCTCTTCAAGCCAGTCTCCAGGGACCACAGAGACTGTTCAGGCTCCTGGAAAAGGGAGAGGAAGAAATGCTTGGAGAGGGGTGCTGGCCACGAGGTGGCGCTACCGCCCAGGGTGGTCAGTTGCCCGAGGTTCCTGGGGGAGGGTGAGAAGCTGCTGGAGCCACACTGCGGAAGCAGAGAGGGTAACTAGAGAGCGCAGTCTTTGTGGGTGGTTCTAGTCAGGAGTTCCTAACTCAGTGTTGACCAGAGGGCGGAGTTTACAGAACAAGTCGCAGATTCTTCCACGTCCTTCTCCATCTCTGTTATAAAGCCTTGAGATTCTCTTGATTGCCCGGGTGGTGGGCTAGAGGTGGATGAGACCTCCTGTGGTCCTCGTCGGTGGGGGAAAGGGAAGACAATGCTGTGTGCACGTTTAAGCAGAGTGGTCCTAGCAGGTTATTGGGCGGTAAGGGCCGTTTTTTTGTTTTGTTTTGTTTTTCCCCGGAAGGGTGGGAACCGAGCTTGGCAGGCGGCCTGAGCCGCGCAGGGTCGTGGCTGGGCTCTCAGCCTCTCCCCGCGGCCTGTCCCGGAGGCTCCTCGCCCATCTCCCGGGCTCGCGCCTTAGCTCCGGGCAAAGCCAAAGCATCTCTTCATGCTGAGCTTTCTTCACATAGAGTGATTACCACGTGTCAGAAATAAACTGCTGCTTTCTGTATATAATCACAGGCCACTTCGGAGAACAGTGACTTTGGATGAAAAAGGAAAACTATTTCAAAACGAAATGCTGCAAACTCTATCTCGCGCGCGCTCCCCACCCCCTCTTTCGGTGGCGGGGCGGGGGGGGGGGGGGGCGGGGGGACCTAAAAAACAAACACAAAAAGTCAGTCGGTATCTCCTCACCACTGCAGCTGACTTCCTGTGTAAACGAAAACCATGTGATATTCCATAAACGCTTCCAGCTCTGAAAGACAGGAAATGAAAACCATCACGGAAAAGGAAAGCTGCAGAATAAATTCCCAGTGCAGATAGCATTACCGCAACACTGCACCGGGACGGAGGCCGGGCCGCCTGCGCAGCCCTGCGGGTCAACAGAGTGACTGCGCACGCGGGCGCGGCGCCCGGCCCCGCTCGGGCTGCTCCGGGGGGAGAAATCGGGCGGCGGCGGTCACACCCAGGACGCGGCGCGCAGCTGCCCCGCTTTCAGTTAGGGGCCGCCGAGAAAGTGGTCTTTTCTTCCCGCACTCCTCCGGAGGTCAGGTTACGGCCGCTCAACCTCTTTCAAGCGCGGTGGCATCCATATGCATGAGGGCTAATTAACTCTGAAAGGCCCGGCTGGCTGGGCCCTCCCCGCGGCGCAGGGGTGGGCGCGGAGGGGGCGCTGAGCCCCGCGCCGGCCTCGGCAGCTGCTCCGGCCTCAACAGCTGCTCCGTCCCCCGCCCGAGTGCGCACGTGCGCGCCCAGCGCGGCGTCTCAGGGCGGGGACCAGCCGGGCGAGGAGAGTCAGCTCTGCCTGGGACAGTGTCCTGGGGCTGCCTGTGGGAAAGGGACTCTCACTGTAAGGGGGAATCCAGATTTGGGGTTGTGCGTGGCCTTGCAGCTGGGAGGAGGAGACTCGGGTTCCAGCGTCAACCCAGGCTGCCTGTGGGAGCTGGGAAAGTCAGCCCACTCCTCTGGACTCTGCATTGCTCTGCTGGGAGATGAGGCTGTTGGACTGGAGAGAAAGGCCATGTCCTTTCCATTTACGAGTAAGGCCTACGAGGTCTATGAAGCCTCTATACCAGTTTGCCTAGTTCTGAGTACCTTTCAGTTTCCCAGTTCATGACAAGCCAGGAGGTGCCGAGTGTCCATGAGGTGGCAATGTGTGGGGTAACATTTCCTACCTCTTCCTGAATCAGCTAAGGCCCTTTCAGTTTAGACTTTAGAAACTAACTTGAATGAGCTTCAGCAAACTAGAGAAAATTTATTGCTCGTGGATCCACAGCCTGGGATGCAGCTAGGCTCAGAAAGTTCCTTTCTAATTCACTCACCTTTTCTTCTCTATTTCTGCTACTTTATTTTCATTAGCTGACTGGCTTCCTCTAGGCCTGTTTCGTAGTTTACATGGCATAGAAGACGGCCGCATCCACCATTTATCAATTTATAGCTGCTCTATTCAACAGATAGAGTCAAAGCAGCCCAGCCTGAAACTGCCAGATTTCAGGCACAAAATATCCATTGGCCCAATTTTGATCACCTCTAGTCCTGGTCCAATCAACTGTGAGGGGAGTCAGTCACATGATACAAGCATGGCTGCCATGGGACAACCCCTGTGGGTGTGGGGACTCGGGTGAACAGGCAGAGATGCCAGAGGGTCTGCTACACTGACTAAAGCCTGATTTCAATTAGCTGCAAGGTAATTTCCTCAGAGATGGTTCTCTGGGCTCCTGACTCAGCGCTGGCTTTCTCTTATCACAAAGAGGAGGGGCAGGATTCCCTGGGTGGAGTTCAGGGGCACCAAGAAGAACATGCCTGACTTTCCTCAGCTTCCAACAGGGAGTCTGGAGTGAGGCCACCGGCCCTGCTCTGACAAGAGAGGAGGAGAAGCTGACTCTCCCTTGGAGAGACTTCTGTGGCCTGGCCCTGAGGAAAAGTGAGATTGCTGGGCTGGGGCGCTGGCTGCATCCCTTACTCCCACATTAGAGGAGAGGTCCAGGTCATGGCAGCAGGGAAAGAGAAAGACCAAACATGAGGTGGATTTACTCCTTGAAAGAAGCCATAGGCATGAGTCTACGGGACAGGATGTTGTGGGCATCACGCATTCATAATGTCACTAGGAGTTGGAGCCCACTCCATGCGGCAGCAAGTCAAGCCCAATGCCTCTTATTCTGAGAGAACCAGATCCCACCTGCAGAGGTGACTACCTAATTGACAAATCAGACCTCTTGATGGCAGATCAAGTAGAGAAGTTAAACACTCAGAGCTCTTAGTCATAAAAAATAAGACCTACTTTGGCTAGTTCAGCAGAAAATGGATTTATTAAGTGTATTAGTCAGGATGGGCTAACCCTACAACAATCCCCAACTCAAAGTGGCTTAAAACAATAAGATGCTTATTTCCCATTTATGGCACAGTCCAGTTGGGGATTCAAGGACCCAGACTCTTTTCTACTAGTGGTTCCCCATCTTTAGGATTCTTGATGTCTTCTACTGGATTCTGCTGGGAGATGAGACTGCCCCAGAGGTTTTCGGGACCAGGAATGGAAGCTTGTCATGTCTGCTTGCACACCATTAGACAGAACTCAGTCCAGTGATCACACCAAGTGAAAGAAGGAGGAAAGACAGTCTAGCTCCCTGTGTCCAAGGACAAAGAGAAATTGGGCCAAGTGAGCATCTAGTGGGCAAACTTTTTGACTCGAGGGCCACAATGGGTTCTTAAACTGGACTGGAGGGCCGGAACAAAAGCATGGATGGAATGTTTGTGTGAACTAATATAAATTCAAAGTAAACATCATTACATAAAAGGGTACAGTCTTTTTCTTTTTTTTTTAGTTTTATTCATTTCAAACGGGCCGGATCCGGCCCACGGGCCGTAGTTTGCCCACGGCTGCCATTCTCGATAGTAGATGATGTTTGAGCACTGAGTCACAGGCAGGTGGGAGTGAGAGTTGAGGTTTACCTTCCAGGAGCAACCCTAGCCCCAGAAACAGACTCCATGAGTAGACTGCACTGTCCTCTCTACTCAGAAGCACTAAATGCAAGAAACCTGCTTGATCGCACATGCCACCTCTACTAGAATGAATGAAACGTGCGGTCCCAGACTTGACCTTTCAGCATCTGGGAAACAGCTGCCACTATTGAAGGCCAGATGTCTCTGCCATCACCCAAAACATTTTTAAGAAAGTCTGGAGGCACCAGGCAGAACTCCCTTTCTCCCTTATTTTCTCCCCCTCCCCCTTTCCCCTTTAGTTATACTTCCAAACTCAAGTCTTGAATAGGAACCTTTAAAGCAAGCATGTCAAACTCAAAGGCTAATGCGGGCCAAATAAACAAGGTTTAAGTTTATGTGGGCCGCAAAAGAACAAAAGCTTTAATTTTCATAGAAACGTAGGTTTATTTCGATAGAGACATGCTGAATACAAAGGGCTGAAATAAATGAGTAATCGTTAACATAAAATAATAGAACATTTTAATTAATATTTTTTCTTGAACATTAACTTAACAGACACTGAATAACTGCACAAATTAATAAGCATAATGCAAATAAACCGATTTTTCTGGTTCTCTGAAAGTGAAATATTTCCTATTGCACACACCAAACAAGTCAGTACAAGACTAATGATGTAGCAATTGGCTGCTAAAATATTCGCTGCTAGTATTAGTGGAGAGAAATGTTGTGCCTGTGCGTAAGGCACGTAAGGGAAATGAATGCAACACGATTATAATAATCAGTCATTAGCGAATGTTGTAATTCGTTATTAATAACTAGAGGCCCGGTGCATGAATTCATGCATGGTGGGGGCCCATCAGGCTGGGCTAGCAGGGGGGAGGGGCCGCGGACAGTTGGCCAGCTGGCCCTGCCCCTGATCGGGGTGGGTGGGGGCACGATTGGGGCCCAGATCAGGCTGGTTGGCTGCCACAGTGCACGTCATAGCCACTGGTTGTTCTGGTCGTTCTGGTTCTTCCACCATTCTGGTCGCTGGGCTTTTATATATATAGACTAGAGGCCCAGTGCACAAAAATTTGTGCACTTGGGGGGGCCCTCAGCCCAGCCTGTGCCCTCTCACAGCCTGGGACACCTCGGGGGATGACCACCTTTTGGCTTAGGCCTGCCCCCTGGGGAATTGGGCCTACACTGGCAGTCAGACATCCCTCTGGCAGCCCGGGAGCCCTCGGGAGATGTCCACTTGCCAGCGGGGAGTAGGCCTAAGCTTCAGTCAGACATCCTTAGTGCTGCTGAGGATGCGGGAGAGGCTCCCACCACCACCACTGTACTGGCAGCCATCAGCCTGGCTTGTGACTGAGCAGAGCTCCCCCATGTGGGAGCGCACTGACCACAGGGGGCAGCTCCTGCATTGAGCGTCTGGCCCCTGGTAGTCAGTGTGTGTCATAGTGACCAGTGATTCCCAGTCGTTCTGCTGTTAGGGTCAATTTGCATATTAACCTTTTATTATATAGGATAGAGGCCTGGTGCATGGGTGGGGGCCCTGAAGGGTGTCCCGGATCAGGGTGGGGGTCCCGCTGGGGTGCCTGGCCAGCCTGGGTGAGAGGCTGATGGGTGTTTGCAGGCTGGTCACACCCCCTTCAGGTGGGAGTCCCCACTGGGGTGCTTAGCCAGTCTGGATGAGGGGCTGAGAACCATTTTCAGGCTGGCCAAGCCTCCTGGGCAACAGAAGCTCCCAGCCTCTCCTTTTTTTGTTGTTTTGTTTAATTCTGGGATGTATTTACCTTCTATAATTGAAACTTTGTATCCTGGAGTGGAGCTCAGAGCCGGCCAGGACAGGCCTCCTGCTCGCTCCAGCTCCGTGGCCATGGCTGGCTAAAAACCGGTATCTGGGGTTTATTTACCTTCTGTAATTGAAACTTTGTTGCTTTGAGTGGAGCTCAGAGCCGGCCGGGAAGCTTGGCTTCCTCCATCATTGGGACAACCAAGCCTCCTACTTGCTCCAGCTCCGTGGCTGCCGGCTGCCATCTTGGTTGGGTTAATTTGCATATAGTCACTCTGACTGGCTGGTGGGCGTGGCTTAATGCATAACAAAGGTATGGTCAGTTTGCATGTTTGTCTTTTATTAGTGTAGATTATGTATAACAGGATATTGTAAAAATTAAGTTATAAAATTTTTATTAAAATGTTTCTTACATACGATTGGCTGGGCCACAAAAATATTTGTTATGGGCCACATGTGGCCCCATGGGCCATGAGTTTGACATGCTTGCTTTAAAGGGTCAAGACTTCATCCTTCCTGCAAGGAAGGTTGGGAATTTGAGTTCTGATTTTCATTCTGGGAAGGCAATCCCCATAATGTGAGTTTTTCCTGTAATGAGGAGATAGTCATAAATGAGACAAGTTTCCATCATTGTGGGGAGAAGGGATGGAGGCCCTCTGTCAATTGCAGCTCTGGCCGGGCCTAGATAAAATGGCATTAAGGAGGGATTATAAATTATTGTTAAGCAGTTTCAAAAGACAAAAGGTCGAATGGCATAAACTTAAGTTCTTGGAGTTGGGAGAACTATTAGAGGTTATCTATCTAGTTTCAACTCAACACAGGGATCCCCTTCTACAAAAACCATCCTGTGATCAGTCACCACCACTGAAATATTCAGTACTACCTTAGAAAGCAGGCTTTTGGGTCACTTTTTGTTCTGAGAAGGTTCTTGTTATAGTGAAGCAGAAATCTGACTTTTTAGACCTTCCACCACTGGCTCCAATTCTACCCTGGGAAGCCACATGGAACAGATCTGTCCTTTGTC